AGGATTAATCTAACATTGTGTTATGTGGATTACGCTCTTTCCTCTTACATTTGGCATTGTGAATTCATTTACAAGGCAACGACGAGAAAGACGTATCTTCAATGTATCTTACTTTAGATTATTTACCTGAGGAAAAAGTCGATACAAAGTTAAAAGCACAAATCTCGACATGACATCTGACTTGATCCTGCAGAAGAAACAGTCGCTGACCAGGACAGAACAGACAATATCTAAGGTAATAGGTCCAATAGGGTCGTAAGGACGTGTTTCTTGACTCCATAGAAGCTAAAAAGAACGCTCAAATTCCTTGTAGTTCCTAAGCGTAGTTCGTAAGCTCTTTCCACGTGCAAGAGTGAGCACAAATATGAATATTGATTAATAAAAATGATTTGTAATTCAAATGAGTTTTCCGACGTGAAAAAAAAGGATTCAAAATAGTCGACCCCGAGTTCCTCGGTCTGTTTCGTTCCACCGTTAAAGTAGGATGCCTCGCATAAGTCTGATTTTCAACTTAATGAAGTTTCATAGAGTTCTGCAAATAGTGCCTTAATACAAGAAATATCAGTTAAAACTTATATTAACTTGAACCTAAAACATTTTGTATAAAAAGCATTTTTAGTCCTTAATTATCGGTAAACCAGAACTCCCCGGCGTATAGATCTTTTTTCCTTTCGTAGGATTATTACGAGGTCTCGAGGGTCTGTTGTTTGTCAGCCTGCATCAGTGTCAAAAAAACACGTTACGGACGAAGTTGTTTTATTCGGCCATTTTCCGACTGGATGAACTCACGTATATAATTTTAATATCTATGCACACACATATAAATGCAATATCTTCAGGCCTCCCCAATTTTCAAAAAGACGTTCCAAGATTTCAAAAAAGTATTGTTCACAATCCTCTTTCATAACACGGTATTCGCCTCTTAATGTATTTTTTGATAGTACAGTTTATTCAATTCTTTACAATCGATTTTTTTCAACAGTCAGCAGGTTGAGGAATATACTCAACCAGGTACTAACTAGATCGGTTGGAATATCTACAGATTCTGGAAAAAAAAGAAAAAAAAAGAAACTTTTTCTGATATATATTTCTGTTGTCTCTATTGTAGCACTGGTATAAACCCGTGTCGTAAAAAATGGACGATTACCACGCATTACATTCTGGTAACTTAAACACGTCCCGTATATTTCTTTGCGTGATTCCTATGTTCGGAACATCTAATAACTAAGCCAAAAAGATTCCAGCTTTACAATTTGTAGTTTTAACCTAACTTAAAACAATTGAACAGAAGAGCCCAAATAAAGTGACCTGGCCTTGGATCGAAGACATGACCGCGAGGCGTGAACCTATAATAAATGTATTTTCAATCGATGTTTTGTTTTGTTTCCCTCGTTTTTCAATGTGATGTGTCAAAACAGAAAAAGAAAGCTAATCTTACTCAGTGAAACTACGAGAGAAAATTGTTTGTGCTTTAATTTTCCCTTTTTCCTCAGGAAGTTTACCACGAACCCTCGACTTGATGTGTTCGATCCAAGGTACCGGTGGTTTACTTCACAGGCGTTCCTTCAGATATCATACAACGATCCCCTCCTCCCAGAAGGACGCTTTTACTGGGGGGAGGGGAGAATAGTTTTCTGATTAGCACGAGGAATGCAGCCTATGGCTATTAACAACCCGACAACTACCTCCTCATCCAGCCAAAAAAAATAATTCCTCCTAATGAAAGTTTCTACTTTCTTTCTGTATACTACAAACTCTTATATGCCGACCAAACTTAAAACGATTACCCTTTAACTCACGTGAGTGACCAAGACAGAATTTCTCCCTTCAATTTCAATACAATAACAAGTAAACAAGTGATGAAAACAAAGAAAAACTACCAACTAGGGGATCATTAAGTTGATCCAAAACCAAATTATCCAAACTAGTATCACCAAAACTGTTTGACAGTCAGTAAGGAGAATTACTAATAAGATCTTGGGAGCGAAAGGGTTCAAATAATTCATACATATCATACACATGTGATAACACACGAGATTTATAAAACGAAAAACTGCTGAAATAAAAATATTAATGTACGTCACAAAGATTGAGTATATATAAGACATGACGATCTATATATAGTATATACAACAAACCAAAACACCTCTACCGACTTATTTACAATAGCTACCAAATTTCTAATTAAAAAGACACTAGAGGTGATTTCATGTGGCAACTGTATACTTTTCTTGCCGACAAATGGTCAGATGAAACCAGCAGTAGCCGCGTTTGACCTTGAGGACGTTTGACCTTGGGCGCGTTTGACCTTGAGCGCGTTTGACCTTGAGCAAGGTTGACCTTTAGCGCGTTTGACCTTGAGCGCGTTTGACCTTGTACGCGTTTCGATTGCGGATTGTAAAACCAAAAGCAAAATAATCATAACAGCCAACCAAAACAAAGGAAAAAAATCACACAGAGTCAGAAAACGCAGAGAAAAAAAAAGCAAACTGTTCAATGAGTGGGAAAACGCGGGTGACCAAGTCACGATTTTTTTCCTCTGAATCTGATTGTTTAAAATATGGCGTGAGTTTTCTGAACCTATCACATGTCGCGTGAAGCAAAACCGAGCCAATTCTGCATTACTCTCGCGTCATTATAAAAATTGTTCTAACTTCAATTGTGATTGGTTGAGAAGTCACTCATATTTTAATGTGGACTTTAGTCCAATTACCTTGAGTTTCATTGGCTCTTGCTACTAAGTTTTCGGTTTTACGACATCCCATCGGAAAAAGCTCTATCCTCATGGCACTCATCGCAATAAACGTTTGTCAATTAAGAAAATTATCTACCTCTAACTAAGGAAACAAGAAGGTGGTCTTCAAAACAGATTGACTGTTTGGTGCGGTTTCCTATTGTTTGGTGCGACAGGATATCTGGATCAATGTCAGTTTCTTAGCACATGCTCACCTACCCCTTCCCTAATCCAACATTAACCCTAAAATGTACTCAGTTGACAGTTGTTGGGTTAGGGGAGGGGTAGGTGCGCAGTTGGGGCGAACGTCCATCGTTGAGTTTGTTACTCGACGCTCTCAATAGTGATTAGGTGGTTTCCAGCCCAGTGATATCGCCAGCTTATTCCAGAATAATTCCTTTTCTAGTCGTTTGTAATCGAGGTAATAAAAATGAGACATGGAACGAGGAATATTGTCTCTGTAACCATCATCAATAAGAACTGGTATGATATCAAGTTTTTTTTTGGTTCCTGTGAAGGCAAAATGAAACACAGGTCACCATCAGCATCTTTTCTGAGATAAATTGTTGTAAAGTATCAATTCATAACAGAGAAAATTAAAGTAAAGAAAAACCACACCGAGATTTGAAACCACACCAAACAAATTCACATCGGTTCAATGTATTCATCTCCAGAACATGCGCAAATGCA